CTCAAAAAAACAAAAAAAAAAAAAAAAAAAAAAAAAGAAACCTCTGGTTACTTTAATCTACTTCTAGTCTGGACCTTTAATCTGGGCCACACCTTCTGCTGGAAGGCCAAGGAAGAAAAAGGAAGCTTTTGCTCTTTGCTTGCTTGCTCTAGCCTAGCTAGCGAGTTCACTCCTTACCACCTACTTTTTGGGGATGCCAGTCGTCTGGAGACCAGCTGAGACATCCAGTCTCGAGGACTGAGCAACTTCTAGATTCTTGGACTTTCCCTTCACAGTCCGCCATAGTTGGACCATAGCCTGTGAGTGGCTCTGACAAATCCCTTTTCTTTATATAGAGAAAAGGAGATCCAGTCTATAAGTCTGCACTCTAGACAGCCTTAATACAGTAGTTAAGAATAAGAGCGCGTGCCGCTCCTCCGGCGTGCCTGGGTCTGATTACAGCATCTCCTGGTTGGCTCAGAACGGTCTGTAACTCCAGCCTCAGAGGGTCTAGTACTGCCTTCTGGACTTCACAGGCCCCTGCATGTAGAAACACACCCAGACACTTACAACTAAGTACTCTTTTTAAAGTCCAGCTGGGATGAGTGTGCACACTGGTAATCCCAGCTCTCAGGAAGCTACGGCAGGGGGGGATCAGGAGTTGAAAGTCATTTTCAACTACAAAGGGAGTTTAGGGCCAGCCTGAGCTACAAAAGACCCTGTCTCAAATACCAAAGAAAACAAAATACCCAGAAAATAAACCACTTTACCTGTGGTAAAATACACTTTACCAGCCTGGTGGTGATGGGTTTGTTTGATTGGGAGGGGGCTGTTTGTTTGTTTTACTGTGGACGCATACACATGATAGACAGAAAAGCATTAAGGGACCTCCAGTACCTAATCCACCAACGGGAAGGCAGTCTTCAAGATTTTGCCAGTCAGGCTCCTCTCTTTACCACCAGAGGGCACTGGTCTTCCAGCATGGTGGTTAGCGGCCTCATAGGAAGTGTTCCCTTGTGGCTTCCCTGAAAGCCCCAGGCCTCCATGACTACTGCCAGATCCCAATAGCAAGCAAAGCCCATGAGAACTCATTCCTGACCCTAACAGGACTGGGACCACTATGGAGGGACCAAGGCCGTCTGTGCCTCCCCCTCCCTAGGTACGGCACTTCTGGAATCTTACTGTTGCTACGTTCTACCAGGACCCTGCCCCTAAGATCTGATCGAAGGATTTGCCTATTTTCTTTCCATTTTAAAATTCTTTATATTCAGAATCTACTCTTTTGAGACAGAGTCTATCACTATGTAGCCCTGGCTGGCCTGGAACTCCCCAGGTAGACCAGGCTGGCCTCCAACTCACGGACATCTGTCTGCCTCTACCTCCCAAGTGTTGTGCTTACAGGGAAGCAGCATCACAGCCTGGCTCTGAAAGAAAATGGAAGTGGTTTCCACTTCTGGGGTTTCCTGGTGGAATGCCCCATCCTTTTATCCAGGGCTGGGCTCCTGGAGTGCTCCCCTGGCCATCTGATGACTGTGGAGACTTCTTCTGGCTAAGGTTTCTCCACTCCTTGATGGCACTCTGCTCCTTGGTGCTATCTTTCCCATGGGGCATTCCTTCCTCAGCATTCTTGTTGCAGCATGGACTCCCTTCTTGTTGCAGCGTGGACTCCCTCCTTGTTGCAGCGTGGACTCCCTCCTTGTTGCAACGTGGACTCCCTCCTTGTTGCAGCGTGGACTCCCTCCTTGCTGCAGCGTGGACTCCCTCCGTGGCCTTCCCAGCACTGTGTGAGTCAACCCTATGCTTCACTCTTCACACTATTTACAGGCGTGATCTTTGCTCTAGCCTTGACTGCAGACACATACACTGGTTCTTCTAGGAGCTGTTTTGCTTTGGCTGTGAGTCCAGCATCTCTGTGTCCTTCTGGAGAGTCCACTCTGCAGCTGTGAGCTCCTTTTTATTGCTTATTCACGTCACACTCCACAGCAGTGCAAGTCGTCCTCACCCTAAAGGCTTGGTTGGTGGCAACAGACAAGACTCCCCCAGTCCTCCTGGGCTACAGTAAATCAGAAGCTGGGCAAAAGCAGGGAGCAAGGTGTCACTCAGCTCCAAAACAAGGTATCGCTGTTCTACACAGGCTTGTGAAAAATGATACTATCTATCTCTTGTGACAGCAATGCTCTTTATGACTTCCTAGACCACCTGAGTGGGAGCAGGGCAGCAGGAAGTGAGGGAGAGCACTGGGTTACTACTACCCCAGTACTGAAAGCCCTGAACAGATGGTTTCGGCACGGAACCAAATTCTTCTCTGTAAGCACCTTCAGATGCTGCCAGCCAGTGTCACGCACTCTGGGGCTGAGGCGGTGCAGTGACTCCGTGACCTAGCAGAGCCCTATCTGTGACCCTCCCCCACGGGGGCAAACATTTTAAGAGGCGGGAGGACACTGCCGTTCCCTGCCCCCCCCCCCCACCGTGGATAAATCCATATCAGATGGCTCATTTTACCCAGGAAGAGACCACTGATTAACGGGGTGCTGCTGCGTTCTTCCAAATTACTAAACGACTGTAAAAACCACCTATTCAAATTTCACAGGTTTGCTCAGCCTTCCCATTCCACAGAGGTTGAAGTTTCAGATCCCCAACTATCACGATATTTGAGAGCTACTGACTCTGGGAAAGGACTTCTGCCTTGGGCACTTCATGTGGCCGTGAGATTAAAAATTAATTCAAAACGGTAACAAGAGAGGGGGTTGGGTCCGTGACTTACAGGGCAGGAATTTGGTAGGCTATCTCATGTCCCTTAAAATATGTAAGGATACAAGCAGGGGCAAAATCTGTCAATGAGATGGTTTAAGTGGGACAATTCAAAACAGACATAAAGACACATAAATAAAATAAGATAGTAAGATTATCCTTACTATTAATCTTTTTCTTATAACCCTCTATTTGACAAAACTAAAACAAATAAATCCAGCCTCAAAAAACTGCCTAAACATGCCGGGCGGTGGTGGCACACGCCTTTAATCCCAGCACTCGGGAGGCAGAGGCAGGTGGATCTCTGGGAGTTCGAGGCCAGCCTGGTCTACAAGATCTAGTCCCAGGACAGGCACCAAAAACTACAGAGAAACCCTGTCTCGAAAAAAATCAAAAAAAAAAAACCTGCCTAAACAGATAAACATGGTGGTACACGCCTGTAATCCCAGCACTTCTTTGATCTCATACTCCATAAATAAGTACAATTATTGTGTCATTAAAAAATAAAAATATTAAAAATATGGGTGAGCATGGAGAGAATTAGTGCAAGACTGAGACTTGAGTACTCATTAAAATATTGGCTAAAACTGTATCGTTTTAATTTTTATTTTTTAATTATTTGTACCTGTGTCTGTGTGGATTTGAACAGAAGTACAGTACCCTCAGAGACCAAAAGGGGGCACCAGAACCCCTGGAGGGAGCCTGATGTGGGTGGTGGGACTCAGGTCCTCTGCAATAGCAAGAAAAACTCAGAACGACTGAGTCATCCCTCCAGCCCCCTAGAACTATTTAAAAAAAAATAATAAAGTCCAGAATAACATGATATTCAGGATGGTAATTCAGGGATAATGCATAATCAGTCTTGAAAGTGCTCCAGTCAACAGTGGTTGCAATTTTTCTGTTTTCATTGCTTTCTGGTGGAATGAGGATCAGACTGAAGGGCTTATGCATGCTAGGCCAGCTCTTTACTGCTGCGCTCCAACCTCAGCGCACTGGCTGCAGCATTTAAATGAAGGCCCTTATAAGGTCTACCATTTTGCTTGGGGGGACATTGTCTCAACGTTATAAAGGAAGGCCACCTTCTATGGATGGTTCTTGAACTTGCTATTCTTTTCTGTCTCCACGGGGAGTCACCAATCCAGAGTCCTGTAAGGTGTGCAGCTCCTGAGGGAATCAGTTACAGATGCGGGCAGATGCAGGCAGATGTGAGCAAGCCGCACAGCACAGGAGCTTGGGTTCCAAGCTCTAGCATGTGCTGCGCTTTTTAGAAGCAGGGGCCTCACTTCCCTACTTTGTCTCTCTTGGAGCTCTGGGATTCAGTCATTAGTTTGAGAAGCATTCATGGTCCATGGGACACAGCTGAGGCCTGCCCCCTCCCCTCCCAAAGGGTGACCACTGCTCTGATGTCGCAGGTCTTTTTGTGTAGCCCTAGTTGTCTTAGAACTTGTTCTGTAGACCAAGCTGGCCTCAAGCTCACAGAGATCCACCTGCCTCAGCTTCTCAAGGCTGGGAGTAAAAGTGTGCGCTGCCAGCTCTGGCACAAACTTTATTTCTTGAACCTACCTCCTCATACCTCTTTCTCGGCTACTGCTTGGGTCCAGGACTGGGTCAGTTGGACAGCCAGAGTCACCCTGGTGGATCGTGGTGCCCCAAGCGTTCTTCTGTCTGATTCACCCTTCTCCTGCTCTTGAGTCACAAAGACTGTACTTCCTTCAGACTTCAAATGCTTCTCAGTAGAGTCTACGCCCCCTGATGTAGCAAGATGCAGACGCTAAAGACCTCCGCAGCTACACCTGCGCTAACATGCCACCGCCACAGCTTTACCTGCGCTAACATGCCACCGCCACAGCTTTATCATTGCTAACATGCCACCGCCACAGCTTTACCTGCGCTAACATGCCACCTCCACAGCTGCACCAGCGCTAACATGCCACCGCCACAGCTGCACCAGTGCTAACATGCCACCGCCACAGCTGCACTTGCGCTAACATGCCACCGCCATCAGTGTACCTAGGGTCCCTCCCCAGTCTTGTGCTCTGCTCTTGTCCTTTGACCACCTCAGACTCAAGCCTTTCCACCCTTAGAGCAGGCCTGTCCCTCCTTCCTGTGGACTCCTCAGACTGACTTCTCTCCACTGCATCATGTACTTGATCTTTGGATCGTTCTGTCCCCCTGGATCCCAGGCCAGCGCTCTGGGCACCTGTCTTTGCCCCTGATACCTAAAGCAAACCCCGCTTACTGTAAAGACTCCAGGAGATCCTGTCTCTAGGATGCTCTTCCAGCGGACACTCAGCAAGAGAGAGGGAAAGTTCATTCATTTCCACACCTTTGAAGGTCCCTAAGCACTTGAAAATGACACCGAAAGTTTGTTTCCTTGCTATGTCCAAATCTCCCCAACTGTTTGCTCTTTGTTGGTCTTACATAACTGCACGCTGATGTAGTCTTAGAGGAATTCCGTTATATAATTCAGTTCTCACTACGGCTGACTTGTCCTGTCGTAAACCACCACAGGGCAGTGGGGGAGGAGGGATGTGGGACAGAGCCCAGTTGCGGGTGCAGGGATTGAGCTGTCTTCCCACCATTCCAGTGCCTTTCCCTGATGCTTGCCCGGTATCCGGGTCCAAGAAGACATTCCCTCTGCCTCGGCGGCCCGCAGTGAAGCCTCCGGGTACGACTGCCTCTAGCCTCCTCTTCCAGCCAGGACCCGCTAAGACGGTTCTGAATTTTAGCTCTGCAGCACCAAAGGCGTGCCAAACCAGAGCGCTGGTTTTCCATTGTTTTTCTAGAACAGCGGGGGGTATTATTACAAGTGTTCAGCAAGAGAAGATGAGGAAGCCGCATCTTAAAAATAGCTTGTAATGCGGGAATTGCAAGCCAAAGATCTGGGCGCGTCCGACGCGGCAGGGCGTTTTCGAACCACTGTTTGGCAGGTGACCCACCCACTTACTGCCTCCTCACTGTGTCTCCTGATGGCCAAGGCGGAGGCCCTTGCTGGTCAGTTCCCACCTGAGCTGCAAGGATGTTGCAGACTGCATGCAGCCCCGCTGGGAAAGGAAGGCAAGCCCTAGACCAGAAGGAAGTTCTAGGTGTTTCTGCCAACTGCTGTTTGTACTTGGTCCTTTAAGACTGCCTCTGAGAGTCACCTCAAAATAGAGATAGTGGCGGGCACCCACCAAGGAGGCAGAGTGAGAATATGCAGGGGTGGGAGTAAGGAAGGGTCACAGCGCCCTAGGACAAAAGGGGGGGTGACACTGGGTTGGTTAGCTGGAGACAGGGGCACGGAGTAGGGAGAGAGGCCTGGGTGGGAGGACACTGGGGCTACAGAAAGGATGCGTCTGGAGAGACAGGCGCCCACACTCACCGTGGGTGAAAGCCGGGCGGGGCCTCGTGGGGTCGGCTCCTGGGTCCCCCAGGTCTCGGACTCGGCCAGCAACTGGTCCAACAGGCGCAGGGTCTCCTCCCGGCCGCCGGGGGGCGTCGTGGGGCGGGGATCGGGGCCGGTCTCCTCCTGCGTCGCGGCCGTCGGGGCCTGGTCAGCTGTGCTGCCCTCCGAGGTTGCCTCTCCCGGGTCCGCCTGGTGCCTGTCAGGGCTGCGCCGCCGCCTCGGGATCCGGCTGCTCCGGCTGCTACCGCTGCCCATGGCTCGCACCCAGCCTGGAGCGCGCAGCCGGAGATCCGGGTCGGACTGGGGCGGGAGTGAGGCGGGCGGGACGAGGCGGGGGAGCAGGGAGGGGGATTCCTGGAGAACTGGGGGTGTGCGACGGAGGGATGTGGGGGGAGCCACGGGGAAAGGGGGGCCCTGAGGGATGGATGAGCGGGAGGAGTCAGGGGGGTCTCGGGGATGGGAGCGATGGAGGGCAAGGGTGATCTGGGAGGCTGGAGGAGGTAGAAGCTGATGGGGGGGGGATGCTCAGGAGGAGAATGGGAGGATAGGGAAAGACCGGGTAGCTTCGGGGATAAGGGGCGCGGGAGATGAAGGGCGGGGGTGGGGCGTGGGGAGTGCCCGGGACAGGGAGAAAATGAGGAAGGCAATCCAGGGGAGGGGTGGTAAGAGGAATGAGGAGCGGGTAGGGGTGACAGCCCCGGGAGACCTCCAGGACATGGGAGGGCTGGGGTAGGGTAAAACTGGAAGGAGGTGGAACAGGGTGAGGGTGGTATGCGAGCCTTAAAGGGCGCGGGGTGGGTGGACTAGTGGGAGGGAAAGCTGGGTGTGGGGATCATCTTGGAGAAGTTTGGGGGAGTCTTACGGGGCGTGGGTGGAAGTAATTCTGGGGGCAAGGAGAGCAAGAGACTGGCTGAAAGGAGCTGGGCGGCAGAGCCAAATGCCAGGGGAAGGGGGGCATCAGGGGTGAGGATTGGGGAGTAGTGTTAGGGGAGAGAGGGGCTCTGGGAACTCAAGGTAGAGGACTGAGAGAGCGGAGGCAAAGTGAGCAGGGGTGGGGGGGACAGAGACGAAAAGGAGAAGCGGGGATGTGAGTGAGAGAGCATGTCCGGGGGAGGGGAGAGCTTGGGGTGGCCAGCTGGAGTGTGAGCGGGTTGAGAGGCTCGTACCAGGGCCTTGGGCGGGGCACACTAGAGGGGCGTGTCCCTGGAACAAAATTCGCTGGGCGGGGAATTACGACTCTGGGTGGGCGTGTGAACCTGGGAGGGAAGGCTGCACAAAAAATCTGGGACTGTTGAGTTGTGGGAGGCTAGACTCCCGGGCGGAATAGGGTGAACCTTTTCTCACACACACACACACATACACACACAAAGTGGGAGACAGGAGATGATTATGATTCTAGTCTTTTCTCTCTCTCTCACACACACACAAAGTGGGAGACAGGAGTTGATCATGATTCTAGTCTTTTCTCGCTGGCTATTTTAAATAAACAAAGGTTTTTGTTTTGTTTTTTGCTTTTTTGTTTTTGCGTGATAGGCTTTCTCTATAGCTTTGGAAACTGCCCTGGAACTTACTCTGTAGACCAGGCTGGCCTCAAACTCACAGAGATCCACCTGCCTCTGCCTCTTGATTGCTGGGATTAAAGGCATGCGCCACTACTGCCGGGCCAAACCTTTTTTATTTTTTATTTTTTTAGTAAACTGCTGTTGTCTAGCTGCAGAAAGGCTCCGACCCGAGAGTCCAAACCCTACCCTGGGCTGATGTTTTGCTTGCTTCCCTTCCAGCACTTTCCAGGGCAGGGTGATTTAAATATTCTGAGTTTAGCTTTCTTTGGTTTTGGCTTGCCAATAACCCTGATCCATACCGGAAGGCAGACCCATTGTGAAAGTGGAATTTTGGGTTAAACTCTCCCAACTGTGGGATGAAAGACGGAAGTGTGATAAACACTAGACCAGACCTGTCATTGGTGTTGGTTCATGTTACCAAGAGAACCAGAGACGAGCCAGTGTTTACACCTCCTCCTCTTCCTTTCCCCTTCTGAATGGGGTTTCTTGATCATCCAGATGTGGGGGATGCAGCCAAATGCATGACTCGATGGCATTTGGGTGTTTCGATGCACAGGTGTGTCTAGGTTGGAATGACTGACAAGTTTCCTCTTTATGAAAGCAAATTCTCATCTTGAAACGCTTAAAGCCTGAAGAAAAAAATTCAGAGGGAAAGAAACTTTCCTTGAACGAAGTTCAACTCAGTTTAATCATTTAAAAGAAAACATGTTTTACTCCAGCCCAAGTAGAGTCTAGTCATGTGACTCAGAGTTTAAATATAGCCCGAGCTCCTGTGTTCTCCAGAGCAGCCAAAATTTTCTGGCCTCTCTTGACTTCCCCTGTCCCCCAGGCTTGTCTCCCTAGCTATGCTCGCAGAGGAGTCTTGCCAAAGCCTGTGTTCTTTCTGAGATCACGTATAATGTCAGCCCAATTTGGAGTCCTGGCTTCTGGGATAGAGGCCGGAAGACCCAGACTGAGTGGGGCATCATGCTACATGCCTGTATTCCAGCACTCAAGAAGCAGAGGCAGGAGGATTGGGAGGTCTGGGTCATCCCAGGTTATCCACAACAAATCTGAGAGGCTTGTCTGGACTATGTGTGACCATCTCAAAGCAAAATAAAACAAAACTGAACCCAGATTTGTCCTGAACCAGCGGGCAACTGCCAAGATCATTTCTAGGGGTACAGAATGGCCTCTGCCCCCAGAGAGTTGGGAAATTCCTAGGACTCTCAAAGCATAAAAGATGGAGCTAACCTTCCAGGCAAGAATCTCAAAGCCATGTATAGACTTTTGTTTTGTTTTGTTTGAGAGAGGGTCTCACTTTGTAGCTCTGGCTGGCCTGGAACTCATTAGGCTGACTTTAAACTCACAGAAATCTACTTACTTCTACCTCTTGAGTTGCTGGGATTGAGGGCTTGGGCCACACCACGCCTGGCCCGGTACCCAGACATCTTTATATAGAGATGATGGGGTGGTTGAGGGTGGATGAAGTGTGAGGTCCAGCTTGACTGCCTGTGGACCGGTCTGTCGCGATGGATGGACAAACCTCCCCACCTCTCAAAGTCCTGCTCAAGTTCCCTTTCTTCAAGGACCTCAAACATGCTCTGCCTGCCCAGAACGTGCCCTGCTGATGACTCACCGCAAGCATCCATGTTGGGAATGATGAGAACAGTGGACACACAGAAAAACAGTGCCTGTGGGTCAGAGCATATGCGAGTCCCTGGTCCAGTCCCAGAGTCATAAATGGATGGTATTTGTGTTCAGCTGGTAGTGAGATCGTGTGTGTGTGGTGTGTGTGTGTGTGTGTGTGTGTGTGTATGCATGTATATAAAGAGAGAGTCTCATGTGGTTCAGACTGGTCTTGAACTTGACGTGTGAACTTCTGTTCCTCCTGCTTCTGCCTCCCAAGTACGGGGACTACAGGCAGGCACCACCACGCTGCATTCACAGGGTGTTGGGGATCAAACCCAGGGCTTCAAGCATGGACAAGCACCTTACCAAACCGAGCAATGTCCCCAGATCCCACCTCTGTGTTTCAACTTTCAAAGCCTTTTGAACTACGTGAGAGGCCACCAGTGTTATTCATTCGTGTCGATCCCTTTGAACAGCCGAATCCTGTGGAGTTGCTGCCATCTCTTTTGGAGTGTCTGAGCTTTCCCGTTTGTTTTCCTGGTCTCATTGCTGAGAAGGGGAGGGGAAATGGAAGAGAAAGTCAACACTGTTCATTAAGGACCACCAACATGCACAGGGCTCCTTTGCAATATAAGATATCCCTGGGTCCCCAGCATTGGTGGGTCTAGACCACGGTTAGTTGAGCCCATTCTATAACACTGTAAAAAAAAAGAGACAAAACAAAACAAAAATGCAGTACACAGGAATGCTGTGTACCCCATTGGACACATGGGTGAGATGACTGCTTCCCATGACTCAGCCAGTTCTCCTAGACCCCTCAGGGCTTCTGGTTCAAACCACTGTATGGCCGGCGTGTCAGTGAAGGATATGTTTAGCTTGTTACTTGAGACCATGCTGCAAAGAAGACAAAGGAGTTGTGAGGGACAGGGACAATCTCAAATGACCCTTCTCCCTGTGTTCTCTAAGGTGGAAAGCTGATATCTGAGAGCAGCCAGACAACAGGAACAGGGGACTTGGAGCCTGTGTATATGTAGGAGCTAGAGACATGAGGCCAGAAGACCAGAAAATGGTCTTTATAGAGGACATTGGTGTCACCGTCCACCCCTCCTGATCAAGCTTATGTGCTTCCATTATTATGCTGATATAGATGTGAGACTCTCTGGAATTCTCCCAGGAGTATGGTATCCCTTGGGAGCTCAGAGAGGCATGCTGCAGGTAGGTAGGATGGGATGGGATAGACAAGAATTGCTAGTGGGCAATATTTGACTGGTGAAGCTGGCAGGAAGCTGGGCTACCAGGCTCAGGAATCCAGGCCTGACCATGAGCTAGGATATACGCCCTCATGTGGGAGGGCTATCCTTTCTACTGGACTCAGAAACTGAAAAGGCTCTCTGAACCAGGCAGTAGTGGCACACACCTTTAATCCCAGCACTTGGAAGGCAGAGGCAGGGGGATCACTGTGAGTTTGAGGCCAGCCTTGTCTACAGAGCAAGTTCCAGGATAGCTAGGGCTGTTACACAGGGAAAAAGAAAGAAAGAGAGAGGGAGGAAGAGAGAGAGAGGAAAAGGCTTTCTGGATAGGACAAAGGTTAGGTGCATGTGATAGTCTCCACAGTTGTCACCTCCCTGTGGGTCCCCTTCTTGCAGACCTGTCACTCACCTTCCCATCACCCATCATGCAGTGGGAGACTTGGAGGGTGCACAGATTCTAGGCGCTGCCTGAGTGATCAACAGAGGAAACTGTCTAGGGCAGGCAAGAGGGGAGGGAGGGAAAGGGACAGGCCTAGGTCTATTCAGCCATTAGGATTATGTAATATTCATCCTGGAAGTGACCCGTGGTAATGCCACTGCCTATAGGCCTTGGAACAAAAATGAGGGTGTCCCACGTTAAAGCTCAAACACCCCACCCTGGAGAGCAACGTCAGTGTGGAAACGGCCCTGTGGGAGGCTCCCCTTCTGCACACAGCTGGTCACATAGCCCCAGAAAGCTGCAGAGGTGCAGGGCTCCTGCTTCTCCTTAGAGATCGGAGAATTAACTGCTCTGTTACCCGGCCCAGAGGAATAGAGATCTCCAGCTAAAGCTCGGGTTAAAGATTAATGGAGTCTCTTGGTGGTTTGGCGTGTAACTCATTAACTATTGGGTCAAGTTGAAGTCCCAGCCTCCTCTGAGGTTACTCATTAAATGCCTATGAACTCTGTACCAGTACCTGGCTGGCAGGACCACCTGGTTCTGGAAACGCCCCTTTTCTCCCCCAGTATGTGATCAGTCGGTGTTGTCGACCCTGGAATATGGGTGTCCCTGGGCCTTACTGCAATGAATGCACTAACATGCTTCTTAACTGTGGGCAGGGCAGTGCCCACAGTAGGGGAAGACAACGGGGAAATTCAGCTGAACACGGGTGTAGCACACATCACCTCTGCTTATCAACTCTAGATACAATGTGACCAGCTCCTGCTGTGACTCCCCGCTGGGATGGGCTGCCACCTCGAGCTGTGAGTGGAAAATAAACCCTGCTCCCCTAAGTTGTCTTGGTCAGGCTATTTTATAGCAGCAGCCAGAGTAACCAAGACCACCAAGCAAGAATCCTCTGTCTCGCCGACACTTCCCAAGAGGCAGTCTGGCCTGCCCTCCCTTCACAGATGTTGGCTTATTAAAGCTACATTGTCTCCCTCTAGTTTATGGAGGCTTAGAAGAATGGAGGCCCAAGCCCACCCTCCTCCATCTCCCTGGGCACTTGAAACATAAGTTTCACAACAGGCTTTGTCTAAGACAATCTTAGAAAGGAAAATTTGAGACACTTTCATAATGTTTCAGTGAAAGTTAACCATAGTGGCAGTAACAAAATTTCTCCAAGTAATAAGAAAAGCAAACGTATCTTCCTACCTCTCCTTAGATGTGATCATTTCTTGCTGATCATCTTGGGTGTTCTCTGCACTCGCTGACTCATGTAGTCTCCTGTCCTTTCCAGCTATGGGATAAATCAAAATGGCACCCTCTCCACTCAGGGCCCAACACTGCTGAAGAAGAGCGAATGGCAGGGGCAGAGGGCACCGGAAGGACAGCTATGGGGTCTGAGGTAATAGAGAAGGGATCCTGCGCCAAACAGGCCCAGGCTTTCCTCCCGGGCAGAGCCTCCCTCTGGATCCATACTTTTGGCCACTTCTCAGGCCAGAAGGCTAGTTGGGATTTCTTGGGTGCATCAAGTAAGACAACCTGTGTTGACCTGCCTGCCGGCCTCCCAGTGATAGGATTACAGGCCTGCACCCTCATGCCCAGACCAAAGGTTTCTTTTTTTAACTTACAATTTGATATTTACATTAATGTTACAAATACAGTGTCTAAATTATTACAAATATAGAAGTTAAATTTTTCGTAATATTTTTATCAGTTATTTGGGAATTTCACTTCATGAACCCCAGCACACTCTCTCTCTTCCCAGTCCTCCCAGGTCTGCTCCCCCCACCCTTGTGACCTATCCCCCCCAAGAAAATGAAGAAAAAAGAGAAAAAATCAAATTTATTATTAATGTGTGTGAATGCAGGTAGCACTACATACATGTGGGAGGCAGAGGACAACTTCATGAAATGAGTTTTTTGTTTGTTTGTTTTGTTTTTTGAGACAAGGTTTCTTTGTAGCTTTGGAGACTGTCCTGGAACTAGTTCTTGTGGACCAGGTTCATCTTGAACTCACAGAGATCTGCCTGCCTCTGCCTCCCAAGTGCTGAGATTAAAGCATGTGCCACCACCGCCTGGCATGAAGTGAGCTCTTTCCTCTTTCCTTTATGTAGAGTCCACGGATTGAAGGCAAGACCTCAGGCAAGCATTTCTGCCTGCTGTGCCACCTGGCTGGCTCTCCCATGGCCTTTTGGAGGGCAGCTCTTTCTTGAAAATACTCATATTGTTGTTGTTGCTGTTTGTTTTTGTTTTTGAGACAAGGTTTTTCTGTGTTGCCCTTGCTGCCCTGGACTCACTTTGTAGACCAGGCTGGCCTCGAACTGACAGAGATCCATCTGCCTCTGCCTCCCGAGTGCTGGGTTTAAAAGTGTGCGCCACTACTGCTGGCCATTCATGGGTATTTTATTGGCTGAATGTTTGTGTTTGCCCAAATTCAAAGTGAGACCTGCCTTCAGTGCATGGTATGGAGAGAAGGGGGACTGGGGTGTTATTTGATGTGACAGGGGTGTGGGAGGAGCCAGAGGGCACGAGGGAGGACACCCAGGGGCCCGCTTTCTCCTGCTGCTCTGTCTGCCCTGTGAGGAAGCAGCAGGAGGTCTCTGCTGCTGATCAGGTCTCACAGGTCAGATCTGCAGGCAGCTCAGTCTTCAGAACTGTCAACCGTCTGGATAACTATTGGTTAAGCCGCCCAATCTATGGTAACTCGCTGAAGCTGAGTGTGTTTCAAAGGACGTCTAAACCTGTGCATAGACTGTGGTTCAAGGATTAGCGGTTAAAGCCAGCACGCCAAAACTGGGGCCTTCTGTTTTGTAAAGAAAGTTTTATTGGAACACAGCCATGTGCCATTTGTTTTCATGTTGCTGGTACCTACTTTAGTGGACAGTCCAGCGGGCTCAGGTTTTTGCTTGTTTGTTTGATTGATTGATTTTGTTTAATCCAAGCTGGCATTAAACTCACTATGATCCTCCTGCTTCTACCTTGTGTATGTACTAGGATTTCGGGTGTTCACCATGCTCAGATTTTTGCTCCGGTGCTAGAAATCCGAAGTCAGGTTCTCATGCTTCTGTGGAAAGCACTTGACCTGCTGAGCCATCCCGGCTTCCTGTGTCCCCCCCCGTCCACCCCCCCCAACCCCTCCTTGGATTCTTTGCTGTTTATACTCCACAGGCACGGAGGAATGGGGAAAAGCCAGAAATCCACGCAAAGTTATTCTTTAATCCACTTATGAATACTTATGTAAATACATTTTGATTACTTAAACTGAAGATAAACTTATACCAGAATGAAACCGATAGGCAAGAAACACAAGTGGTTTGAACAAATGCAGCTTCCCCCGTATCTTTGGTTTCACTCAGCTCCACAAACATTTGTAAAGCACATGGGCTAAACCGAGGGAATGCAGACATGAATGACGTCTCATGCTTACCCTGCGGGACGTGCAGGGCAGGCTGGTAAGACGGCTCAGCAAGTAAAGGTGCTTGCTGCCAAGCCTGATGGCCCGAGCTGGGTCGTGGGATCCACATGGTTGACTGAGTCCTGAAGGTACAGCGTGCACTTATCAAGGTTTGGTACAGTTTACTGCTCAGCTGGCTGATCTTGGAGCCCTGGGTCACGTGTGCCCTGGGAGGGGTCCTGAGAGAGGTGACTTGCTTAGAGCCCTGAGCCACAAGTGTTAGAGCCATCCTTTGTTGAGGACTGTGGTGCTCTGACCCAAGAATGTTCCGGAGGTTTGTCACTCGGTGGCGTCGTGGGGTAGGTTCTGTGGTCCCTGTGCAATAGACAAGAACGCCAAGGCTCACAGAGCCCAAGAACTCATCAGTCCAGAGCTAATCTGTGTTGGGATCTTAGGTGGTTTTCCTAGACGGCTGTGCTTGCTTGCTTGCTTGCTTTCTTTCTTTCTTTTTTTTTTTTTTTTGGGTTTTC